AGTTTCTACGGAAGAGAAATCGACCGTTCAAGGACGGACCGTTATTCGTAAAATCTAACATTTGCATTCCCGGTGCATCAGTGGATATCACTCGAAGTGGGGAGCAGTGCTCCCAGTCGTCCAGTCCGACGGCCGTCGACAGCAGTCGACTAAAATTGGTCAATGAACCCAATGCCACCCAGTAAGACACACACTAGTGCTACAGTAAGTTAAAACAAAAATAAGGTAAATCAAATAAATAAAATTTGAAAAATTTTAATGGGGTAATATTGTATCCATAAAAGGAAACCCAGGACTAGTACCGTCCGACTGGAAGCACTGGTGGAAAGGATGGACTACTTCTTCAGTGTGGATCAACGTTATCCAGGGAGTCCTACCTGTGCAGATTACATACGGAAACACCTTGAGCTCTGGTCGATTGACGAATCTCCCGTGAGGGTAGCCCTTTCTTATACTCAGTTCGGGTGCGGGAGTATGTCCCAACTGTGCCCCGAATCCGGATTGGACCTGCCGTTCGCCAACGATAAATTAACTAGCGATTCTTGCGCCTTGTAGACCGCTGCTCTGGGTTGGATCCGAAAGTCCGGATCGGACCCTCGACTCTGAGCCATTCTTGGGGCTGGAGGTGGGGAAGTTATCTGACAAGCGTTCTGTTACCCAAGGAGGTAGCGGCGTATACTCGCCTACCATCCTAGTCTTGTAGTCTCACGCCAGGCCTCCGACCCTGTGGTAGGGTGTTCGCAATCAGCGTTAGGTAGACCTCGAATGTAAGGTGTGCTGCACTGCTGCTGTCCAATCGTATGCCATTTGCATGTTAATATCAGCTCCGATTTTTTGAAGAAGCATTCGCGCAACCCCTAGGCGGCCCTCCTCCACTGCGAGTAACAGTGGAGTCTGGTCTCGCACGCCCTGAGTATTTACGTCGACCTCCCCTTAACATCCGTTGCACACCAGGTCCCGGGAGCACCCTCGAGGCACCCAAATTCAGAGTTATCGCCGGGTTCTGGAGTAGTCCGCCACAGTTCCTCAACGACAAACTTCTCAATATCCAGCCAGCAGCCCCCCACCCGTTCAGCCAGGTGGTAGGTCTCCCTCATGTTGCGGTACGCTGACAATAAATAAAAATAAAAATTAAACCGTTTCATTATTTCTAGTTAAAACCCTATTCGATTTTCACTGTTACCAATTGCTTGTGGAGTTTCTTTCGAAAGCAGATATCATATAAGGTATACTCTCTTTCTCTGTTCCTAGCAGAGTAGTAAGGTATTATTAAATGACACGTTTGATTCCAATACAAATAGGACTGCTACAGGATTTGAAGTCTGAGTTGTATCAACATGCCGGTATTCCAGGGTGCTTTAGTCGATTGATTTTCTTCACTACTTTACGCAAGTCTGCTTAAGGTCTAGGAAATATGATAGGTATTTTAGGGACAAAATAAATCTATGTTGAATGGGATCGGGGAGAAGTACCGTACCGGTCTACTGTTTCCGGATGGCATGTTTCTAGAGAGCTGCTGTGCTTCCAGTGTTGTTAATAGCTATCTGGAGGTATACCTCTCCCCTAGTTTGTCCTTAACTTAGCTAGTATCTCCCTCAATTACCTCGTTTATCATTATTATTATTATTACTCCTCGCATTTAGTCATCCGGGACGAAAGGCCGAGCCATAGTACTCACTCTTCTTCATTACTTTGCTTACTCGAGCATATTTTGACTAGAGTTGTAATATGCTTCAAAGTTTAATATTTCTGCCACCTTGTACCCATTTTGTTCAAAACAGTTAGGAGTACCAGGACACTAACCCCTCCGGGCATCCCACCTGATTTTAACTTTCTAGCGTACCGTACCGTAGAAATTGTTCGGTAATGGTAACCGATCGCAGAACTGCTATCGGTTACCCAGCATAAGTTATAAAAAAACAAAAAAACAAAAAAGGAAAGCTACAGTCAACATGCTCCAAATACGAGTACCAGAATGCCCGTGCAAGTAGGTTTACAGGGACAAGCATTGGGTATTAGCGTTCAGTTGGTCCCTTGACTGCCTTCCGCAGTACTCGTACAAACCTGACGATCCCCATAGCAAACGAGAGGCCCTGTCGTGAAAAAGACCAGGGGGACAATATTATATAGTCTGACCGGAACTTCCCGGTTTAATAGATCATGGCAAACAAAACCTGGCGCTCCTTCGATACTATTGGATTCCTCTAACTTTGAGGACGACAAGATTCCGAGTCGAGTTGTATACACAACCAAAGATGGCGGCTGAGGTTTCATCAAAAAAAAAAAATTTTTGAAAATAGAACTACCGGCGGCTCTCTATTCGTATCCATGTATGGTTCAAGAACATCAGATTTTCAAATTCTATAAGCTCTACCACTACAAGCATTATTGTAGAAAGAAAACCTGTTTATGAAAGAGGAGGTGATGGAGAATAATAAACAGGTTTTTCTCCCACAATAATGCTTGTAGTGGTAGAGCCTATAGAATTTGAAAATTTGAAGTCTGGTACAGGTTTTGATGTTCTTGAACCATACGTAAACCGCGTACGTACAGTACAATCCAACCATGAAGCACAAGCGGTGACAGCACTCATCTTGTAGCTATTATAATATTATAGCCAAATAAAATCATGGTTCAACCGCTTTGCCACCTTAAATGTTTCGTTTGCCGATGATTAAGATACGGTATCACGCTCCACATCGAATCATCGGATCGAGCTTGTATATGATACCTATCCAAATGGCAGGGGCAACCCCCAATAAGAACGGACGAGCAGCCTTCACGAGTTTGCTCGCCTGCTCCATTTGCCTATCATATCTATAGAAACGTGTGGTATAAGTGTAATGGTGTAAAGCTAGTTAGATACAGTAAGTATGATCCATAGTAAACTACCCCGCAAGGTGGGGTGCTGGAATATGCATGAAACAAGAGTGAGGGTTACTTGTGCGGGTCTATCAACACAAATTTTGTACAAACCGAGTGAGAAATAATGATAGACTCTCAGGGGTACTCCTAACATTGCGTCAGCGGCGGAGACAGTCGGTGTTTTAGAGCAACATTTCAATCTTCCGGAGTCCCTGTCCAAAAGCGTAAGGAAGACCAGCTGCCGGTTCAAATCATGCCGTGGTGCTGGGATCCAATTAAAGTTGCGGGATTGAGTCCGCCGTTGAGCTGGCTGTTTCCTTTTTTCCTTTTTTTCTTGGTCAATTGCTTCTTTTCTCCCACTCATCCCCCCCTTTCTCCCCTCTTTCCAGATGCGAGCGAGGCATCTCTTCTCCGAGTATTTATCACAAAGGGCATCTAGACGGAAAGCAATTCGCCTATAAAAATGAGAGGAGAAAAAAAGAAATTCATACAAAAGAGAGAGCTCATTCGGTATGAATCCAAATATGGTGTTGGGGTTTCCTCAAGCTGGACTTCTTTTGGCCCTTTCTTAGCGTCTGTGTTTGGGAATGACTTGGTTTGGGCCAACGAACATGAGGTACAAGTACAGTACCGGTAGATTGTCTGATCCTGGTCCATACAGTACTAGTACTCGTACAAGTACTAGTACAGTGTTACCGAACCCCGTTATTTGGCCGGGAACTGGTGACCTGCGGGCCGTGCAGAGAGCAGTGCATATCGCAGCTGTAGGGGGGGACCACAACGGTGTTCGAAGTCGGAATGGTCTGGCTTTGTTATTTCGAGACCCTTAAAAGCTTTTACAGTAAAGCTGTGGACTCTGATGCATTCCGCTTGTGAGGTGCTCGAGTGAGTTATCAATACGAGACAAAGTTGTACTCTTACTCGTACAGTACTAGTACGGTACTGGTACAGTCTGTTCGGGTAAGCTCTGTATTGTTCTTTTTCGGGAGAGTGAAAGAAATCGGGATAGTTACTGCATACGTGGTCCGAGTTTGTGTGCATAATATTCAACCAACCAGAGTTCCCGACGACCCAACTTTTTGAGGGGTTTTTTTTCTTCCCTCTCCTCCTCAAGAAAAAAGGGAGCCAGCCAGCCCCAGTTCCCCTGTCGGCTTTGGAAACATAACATGGAAAAAGAAAGAAAGAAAAGCTGGTGAAGAGGAAGAATACCGGCATGATAGGAAGATGTGAGAGAATAACAAATAAACAAACCAGGGACTGTGGAGTGAAGGAGAGTTTGGATTCAAGCATACTCGAGAACAGTATTCGTATCGTACACCGGCCTCGCCCAATCCTCGTTGCTAGGAGAAAAAACAAAGGTTTGTATGGCACACGCGTGGCCGTCTCTTGTTTACGCCTCACCGTTTACGCTGCTCCCTTCCCTTTCCTCTTCCACGGGAGAAACCATATCATCCAAGCACCCGTACTATTGTCCTCACCCTTCCTCTCTCCCCTTCAACTTGTCTCTCCCTCCATCGCCTTTGTATTGGCCCTTGTCCCCTTTTCGGTGCTTCGAAGGACTTCTCTGTACTCACTTGCTGGTGGGACCTTGCAAACTACACACATACGGTACCGGTATTGTCCCCTTCTATCTACTGCTGGTATACTCGAGTACTCGAGTACTGTACATCCTGTCCTTCCTCCCCCTTGCCCGCCGATTGGCGGTATAACTCTAACAATCGCCCTCATCTGCTGTGGAATCTTACTCTCCCACCACTGACATTGTTCCACCATCGCAGGGAACAATCACAACAACGCACCCTCCTGCATACCACCGCACACGCTATCAACAACAACCCCCACCCCCTCCTTCCCCCATCATCAACAAGTCCCTTTGCATATACACACACTTACACACGCCTTATCTCGTTCTATACCCAATTCCCAGTCTTTGGCACTATCCCTTCCCCCGCTAAATCATTAGCATTCCAATGTCAGAGGACTTCCGCGGTCGCATCCAAGACCCTCGAATAGTCACTCGTTCCGCGAGGAAACCTTCCCCCGGTTTAGCCGCAAGGATTAAAATGCTCGAAGCCAACGCTGAGAAACGCAACTGTTCTTCCACCATCAACAACAACAACAACAATAACAACGTGATGAGTAAGGGCAGACTATCACCTTCCCCCTCACCTCATCGTAAAATTTCGAGCGCTTCCTCCAACGGAAGTGTCTCGCCTGCCGCCGCCGCGATCACAAACAGCACGGCTGCCCCAAAATTATCAAAAGAGTTGCCCCCCACGCCTGTCGAGGACGATGAAGACGACGAAGAGTTCCACACTGTTAAAGGAGATGGGGCAAGCAAAACCGGAGACGACGACGACGGTTCCTCTAGTGACGGAGAAGGGACACACAACTTCTCTTCTGCCCTTCAGTCACCAAACAATCATGACGGTACTTTCAACCACGCTTCTATTATGATGACCTCTTCGCCACCGGGCTCTGCGAGACCAGATACTTCGTATTCCACTTGGACCGAAGATTCCCGTAGCGCTGCCCGCTTCTCCAATGACACCACCCTAGAAACAAAGCCAGAAACGCAAACAGAGACACGGTACAACAACAGCCCTTACATGGTTTCATCTACAAGTCTGCAGAGGCGTGCTTCCGTGTTCTCGTTGTCCCGCGTTTCTTTTTCGGCACAGCTCTCACGACTGACATCGCTGTCGCTCCCTTTGTCGGAGGATATTTCTTCTAGAATACGGCAATTGCCGACTGCGAGGGAAGCCTGCAATGCGCTCATCTCGGCTGGGGATCAGATTAGTCGTTGGATTGATACCGCCAAGAAAGTCTTACGTGGTCTAGATGCCGAGGATGATGTTGAGTGGGCAGCTCAGGGACGCGAGTCTCTTAATGAGGTGGATGCTGCGATTGGGAAGTTCTCTGGTTTGGTCAATGTTTATGTCGAACTCATTGACGAGCTACAAAACAGGGATGATTCTGATGAAGTGGAAAAAGTATTGGTCGAAATTCTTAAAAGTATGGAAGAGGTTATGGATGGGTGGAATGAAGTTAAGATTATCCTAAAGGGTGTGAAAGATCAGGTCGAGACTGCGATGGAGTGGACAGAGCTATGGACTATGATTCTACAAGATATCCAGGCGGAATTGGACGCGTGCCAAACAATTGTCTTTGAGGAGGAGGAAAAGCGACACCGGAGCATGATGGAAGACACCAGCATAGTGGACCTAGATGCTCTGGAGACCATAATTGAGGAGACACCTATATCGGCCCTACCCAAAGTCACCAAGACTGCGGGAGAAGAGGAGAGCTCGTTACTCGGACTGATGGCAAGGATGCAACCTTTGAGGGTTAGCTTGGACTTTCTCCCCATGAGGTTGCAGAGCTTCCAGGCTCGAGCCGAGGGGATCTTTCCTAGCGCCTGCGAAGATTTGGCGGGCCGACGAAATGCCTTGGAAAAGAAGTGGAAGAAATTGGATAGCGACGTGGAGGGGCTGAAGAAAGAGTTGGGCGAAGACAAATGGGTTGCGCTATTTAGGAACGCTGGCGTGCAGACGGCTAATATGATGTCAAGCGTGGAGAGGAGTCTTAAGAAATTGAGAGACGCAGTTACGATATGGGAAGAGAGCGAGGGGAGGATTGACAGTGATTTGGCATTGAAGATTCAGAATTACGAAGCAAAGAAAGTGCATTACGGTAGGTTGCCTTTATTCAGCTGTCTGTTTTCGCAGTCGTGAACTGACAAGAATGTTGTGTAGGATCTGCAATTGAACGAGCATTAGGACTTATTACTAAGGGAGTCCGTGATAGGATAACTGTTAATGGAGAAATCATTCGTCTCGACGCTGCTATGCGGGCGCGTTGGAAGACTCTCGAAGATGGAATGGCCGACATGGAACAGGATATGAATGACCTTGGTTTGAACGTGCAGACACTTCGGGATTCTTTCTCCTCGGTGAATTCCCTGGAGGTACGCTCCTACGGAGGCTCGGGAATAATTACCCCCGGTAGCTCTCCGGCCAGCTCAGTCGTCATGACTTCCTCTCCCGGAGGGATCGAAAGGAAGCGATCACCCCCATCAGCCACCAGGTCACCAAGCGGAGTTGTAAACACTCGGCCTAGCCATCAACCCAGAGCCAGCTCGATCCCGAAGAAAAGCCAATATGCTAGACTTTCCTCCACAGGGTCAGTCGTTGCTGCATCGGTACGTAGCTCACTTTCACCCATTACAACTGGGATGGTTAGAGTCTCATCTACTTCGGGAACCTATCAGACTCCACCCACAACTCGTAGGTCTTCCTCAACATCCAGCTCTAGCGGCAAGCCAGTAGACAACCGGCCAAGGTGGAACTCCTCAACAAACACCAACGACAGCCCATTCGGGCACAATTTTAAGCCTCTAAACCTCACTACCCCGAGCCCATACCGCAAGAACCCCCCAAATGCCAACCGAATAACCAGTCCCACCCTCTCCCTTCCCGCCTCTCCCGGAGCCAGCAGAATTCCCGGTCCAAGCCCGCTAACTTCTGCGTCCCTCCCGGGTTCCCCCCTCCTCTCAGGAGCCCGGAGATCCAGCGGTGGCGTCTCCCTTAAGTCCCCTAGCCCAGCACCAAGACTAGCCCCTGCCGCTGGTGGCCGCCAACACCCGGAACTTCGCCGCCAAGCAAGCATGAGCCAACTCCGCTACCAGTCCCGCGACCAGGCCCGCCACTCTTCGCAGGAGTCCATAACTTCAAGTACCATCTCACACTCCACCTACGTCGAGGAGAAGGGTCGTGAGAGAGAGGAGCGACAATGCTTGCGTGATAAGGAGAATGCAAAGCGTAGTGTAGACGGTAGGCCTGCTAGTGCCATGGCTAGCGCGAGGGCCAATCGTGTGAGTATGCTACCGAGACCGACGACGCCGGTGTCGGGGTCGGGGGCGGGGAAGAGGAATAGTATGCCGCCCGGGACAACGCTTACTCAGCAGCAACAGCAGGCGGCTGCGAAGGCGGATGGTAGGCCGAGGTGGAGGTTAAAGTAGTTTAGTTCCTTTTTTTTCTGGAGGGTTGGGATAGTGTTGTTGTGATCCTGTTGTCTTATTCACTCCCCGCTGTTGGTATTGGCATGCGCTTGTTCTGTGACGATTGGCGAACGGGGGTGATGCGCTTCTTATTCCGCTTTTTTTTCTTCTTCTCCATTACCTTTATTTATTACCTTTGCCTCTTCACTTTTACTCCCTCCTCCACCTCACGCCGACTCTGTTACTAGCCCCCTGGTAATCACCAATCATACCCATCTCCATTCAAACCTGCGGGCCAATTGGCCCACCCATCTCAATACTCATTTCTTTCATCCTTTTCTTTTCTCATTCGTCTCATCTTGTCCCATTCGTTTGTTTTCCACCAATTACTTGTTCTAGCTCATTCATCCTTGCTTGTCTGCTTCGGGGGGTTTCCATACATGGCGTTCTCATTCTGTTTTTCGCACCATTATTCCATAGCCTTCTTCTCCCTCCGCCTCTTCACCTTTAGTGACTTCATTTATTCTATATTCGCAGGCGTGTAAGGGATTTTTTTTTTTTTTTTTTTTTTGAAAACTATGATATCTTGCTTTCTTTCCGGCCTTCCCCCCTTCCGCTTTCATATCGTGAACTTTTTTCTTTTCTTTCACCCCCCCCCCCAATGAAATTCGTGCTTGACTCATGGGTGGTGAATGTCTTGTGAATTTTGACCTGATTGGTTTGGCTTTACCCCAGGAGGAGGGAAGGGAAAGAGCAAACTCCACTCCACTCTGTTTTTTGTTACGTGTGTGGCGGTGCATTGGCCATGTGGTTTTCTCCGTTCTCTAGTTTAGGAAGGATTGTAGGATGGTGGCATGGGTTAATGTGATAATTGTCGATCGACTGATCTGTTTCTTCAAGCCTTAATCACGAATGAATGAATGAATGTATGAATGGTAAAGTATCATAAATGGGCTGGACCAAGGAGAAGTGCGAAACTTTTGGGGTAACTGACGTTTCTTTGCATTTTCGGTCTCGAGTGATTGTGTGTGATTCGGGATTGCGGTGATAACACATTGTAAAAATCAAATGTGTAGTTATTCCGCTTTCAAGCCAATTCTATCCAATAAAATTAGCTGCATGATACCATCCTGAAAACTAGCACTACATTACTACGGTAACATAAAAAGTCATTGCCTCCCTCCTCCCTCCCTCCCCTCCATTCAATGGACTGGGTCAATTAATTAATCAAACTCGGTTATACATCCCATCCACCCCATACCCTCTCATACCCCCCACCGGGGGCTGTACCGAAACCAAGGGTGCTCTGGCCCTAGCCCTCGACCGTCTCTTCCGGCACTTGATAAACACAACGATACCAACGATCAGAAGCGCAAGACCGCCAAAGGCACCAGCTGCCACACCTATAATCATTATGACATTCGGGCCCGTATTCGGGGCGAGGATGTCCGCCGCTTTCGATTGCGGGGGTTTAGGCACTGATGTGGTTGTGGCGGCGGCCAGAGTTGATTGTAGGGAAATCTCGAGCGAGGTAGGGGTGCCGTTTGGCTGGTCTGTACTAGTGGGTACTAGGGGTTGAGTTGTTGTCGAGGGGAGGTCAGAGGTGGACTCCTCGGTGGCTGTACTCGCGGAAGTAGGGGTGGGGGTTGCGGTGGAGGAAGAAGGCTGGGATGGGGCTGATGAGATGGAGGTGGTTAGTGATGCAGTTGGGTTGGTAGTCCCGCTTGCGGTGGCACCACCGAAGGTAGAGTCCGGGATCGAGAGATCGAATGGAGGACTGTATTCGAAGGTTTTGGTCGCGTCGTCGATGATCTTGAAGCCGTATTTATCCCCCTTTGGCATTGATCCACTGTCCTGCAGTGAATTTGGGATGGTCCATGTGAAGGTTCCACCATTGCTGATGGATGCTGGGAGCCAAATTAATTGCCAAACCTTCAGCATAAACTTCAATCTAGACACTTACCGGCGATTGGTCCGAGGTCTATGAGGTTACTGGGAGGTCCCTTGAGGAGGCTTATGGTGATTGTTCCTTGGGTGGTGGGCTATACACCAGATTGCAAGGTTAGTTGGAGAGTTTCTCAACTACAGCAAATGGTGCAGAGGTATTAAACATACGGTCCAAGTGATAGTGAGGGGCACGGTAGAATCCAAAGAACCACCAAGTGGGTATGTGATTGCATTCTGCCCGCTGGTCCCCTGTGCGAATGCCCCAATCGCGCCTGTTAGGGCACATAGCACTACTGGAAGGAATGATAGATAGCGCATCATGGATTTCGTTTTTAAAGGAATGGACGCCTAAAGCGAAGAAAATGATAACGAAGAAAAAAAAGAAAGAAAGAACCAGCTGGCGATTCAAGGGAGTGACGATCTAGTAGGAAACGAAAAGAGGGGATAAGAGGAAACGAAAAAAAGGTCGGGGGGGTAAGTGTGATTTTATTCCATTGTTGTTGCCCATGAAGTCCGCAATCCTGCTATTCTCAGCCCCCGGTATGTTGTGTTCAACCAACCTCATCACACGGGGGGAAGGCCTGGGGATATGGTGCGAGTTCGTCCAAATGCAATCACTGGGTGATACCATAACCTACAGTAGGAGTCACAATGGAGAGACCCGTGCGGGCTTTTGGGAGTATTGTACTAGTACAAGTACGGCACCCTAGATTCTGGGTAAACTCAACCCGCCACTATCCTCTGTATGGCAGTTGCTATACCGAGAAAAGCATACTTGCCACAGGATTAGGCCTCAATGGAACTAGTGGTTACCTTAAGAAGTATAGCGGCCGATCAAGTTTGTCTAGAATTTAGGGCACTGGCAGGCTACCTGTAACAACCTTATCCCAGAACCACCATCGACTTGTGCGATATGATAGGGGTCATCTGCAGGGGGAAGGCAGGTACCGATGCGGTTGTGCCTGGTGCTTTTTGCCAACCTTGTTGAATACAAGCACCGTACGGTACTCGACCAATCAGCAAGTCTGAGATCCTTACTTGTGTACATACCGTAATCGAGTACCGGTATGGAAGGGGGAAGAATGTTTCAACCCCCAATCTCGGTAGACTGGGAGGGAATCACGAGTGCCGACGCTGCTGTTGAGCACGGTGCAATCGTACTGTACTCGTGCAATTCCTCCAGCGAGGGCTACTGGGTTGGGTTCCTGATGGACAAGTTACCGGTATCATACGGTAGCCCATTCGCAATTCCAGAAACACCATTGCGGTACTCATTTTCAACGGGCACTTGTCTTCCCGCCCGATGGATTCGCGGATACCATCCTCACAGAACGCTGCGATTGGGTGCTCAGATATACGAAACACTAGATAACATGTCCAGGTTGACGAGCCAGTTGGTGATAAAAAATGTGATAAAATACGAGAGCTATGGCTGTGGCTCACTTCGGTGACCTGCATTTCCCCCTTTTTTCCCCAGAAACTGCACACATTATCCCGAGGATCAAACCTCACATGGCGGCGTCGGTCAGTGTCTCCGTACTACTCGGGTAGTACGAGTAAATTAGGGAGACACAGGTCAGGGAACACAGAGATGGCTGTAAAGGATTGTTGGCTGCGGAAAGTTCCGGGTTTTTGACGCCGTGTGTTTTTAAGAGCGCGCGTCCCGATATCATTGATCGGCATGCTTGACACTGCTGCGCTCCGGCAACTTTAATTCGCCACCGAGTAGGGTCCGAACAGTCGGTCCGCTCGAGTGCCCGAGGATGGAGTTAATACACAGTATCATACTGGTACTGGTACATACCGTAGTAGATAGCCCACGATACGATACGATACCGTAAACCCACTAGACATTGTTAGTCAAGCTAGTGATAGCTATCAAAATGTGAAGAAGACTCGGGGAGGCGAGACAAAGGATCGAAGGGGGCTGCAGGACCGGAGAAGGGGAGATCAGGAGAGACATCGGGGCCAACGACGATAGGTTCATAAATTAAGTTACACAACGAGCTTGGCCTTGGAGAGAGCACCTGGTTACCCGGAATGAGAACCTTTGGTGCAAAATACCGTACCGTATATACTCGTACTGTACTCGTACAAGTACGATAGTCTACAGTACTCGCAATTTTCTGACATTTGTAAAAACAACCGGGTCCGCATATGCCCACATATGCGGCCAAGAAATGATGCATGAGACCTGCATACACAGGCAGGTAAGTACTCAGTTATGAATACCAAATTGTGGTTTTTGAAGAGTTTGTGAGGTAGGAGTACAGTTAGAGGGGTGATGTAACGATTCCTCCTTGGATAGTTAGATCTTGGCGATGGGGAATGATACTTCTCTTTTCTTCTTCTCCTCTTTTTGTCTTACGATAGTGCTAGGCCTCTGCCTATGTTACCAATAGTACAAGACCTCTGTCTTCTATCGGGAACGCCTATCGTAAGTTTTCTCTAACTCTTCTTCGTAAAGCACTTTCCATGGCGTAACGATATTGTTGCAATAAAGATAAAGATCGTAAAGGTGTTTTATATTTGTTTAAAGTAATAAGTAGGAAAAGTACTTAGAAGTCAATCTAATTTTATTTAAACTCGTACCGCCAACACTGGCATGCGACGAGCTCCCGCTGGCACAGGGATACCACTAACTGGGATACCACTAATCCTAAGCTAATTAAGTCTACGGCCCCGCACCTGCCATCCTCGAGTCATGCCCGCATGAGAACTAATTACAAGACCATCAAACAACCCAGCGCCTGCCCCGGTCCAAGTCCGTAGCCCCTCTGGTATGAAGTCAACCAGTACTAAGCGTAGCTGAAGCCGAGTAAAAGACCGACCCAACCAGGTTCCTTGTCCAACAAAACATAAAATCACTACCACGCGGTTCAAACACCGTCCCGCAAAACCTCTACCATAATAGAAAACCAACAAAACCCTATAAACAAATATAAACTACAGGCGACACAATGGCAGAGAGGAAGTGACCAACATGTCCACCTCTCGCATCCACATGCCCGGCTGTCGACCCTATGAACCCACTTTGCCAAGTACCTCCAAAGAGCGTAATGGTGAAGAGGACCTGTGCCTGCTGCCTGTCCCCCAAACAACAAAATTCATAAACAAAAGAAATACATAGAGGTGGTGACAGACCGAAGCGGTCAGTGGGGCCTATCTCCCACTCGTAGTACCTTGCCCCCGCCAGCCATGTCCAAAGCCAAACCAAAGAAACCAAACAGACCCCACAAAGCGCAGCACGCAGAATCCAAACAAGTCCAACCAGGTGGTTGCAATCCACTATCCGCACAGGTGGCCATCAATCCTCCGGGTTGTCAAGTAGCTATGCAGCACTCAGCAGCTTCACCCAACAGCCCCATCAGGCCGGAAACACTTAATTAGACATCGCCCAACCTGACGCATGCCCGACTGGTGCTCGCAGGTGCCTCTCCCCCCCCAATCAGCCCCCCCTCAAGCCCCACACACTAGGCGCCACAGAGCCCATCCAACCCCCTCAGCCCCTCAGACAGATCAACCATCCGACAGCCCCAGGACAGCTATACCTAACCCTCATCAGGCAGCTACTTGTCTTGGCCACGCCAACAGAGCCACAACTCTCCACTCCATATAGCCGAGGGGAGCCCACCAGCCAAAGCTGGGAGCCACAGAGGAGGTAGCACCAACACCCGAAGGCACCAGCACTGGCCACGCCATCTAACCCAGCCAAACTGAAGATCAACTGAGTCGGGAAAAAGGTTAGCGGAGCCAGCCAAAGCCAGCTCCACAGGTACGGCAACAAGCACAGACTGAACGATGGGCAAGAGGCATCCCCAACTGACGTGACAAAAAGGGGGAGGGTGAATGAACAGAAGTAGACAAACAGAAGGTAGGCCCCACTTCCAATGGGTGAAGCCGCCAACTACAGACTACAACCAAACCACCTAAACGCACAGACAACGCGAGTATCTGGCAGCCAATCATTCCACACTACCCCAGGTGGCAACAATAACCACACCAGGGGGTAAGAGTTTTTCAGGGTTATAGCCATCCCTACGGGTGCGAGGAGGAGATGCCTGACTGAATCGCCATAAATGCCGCAAGGATAAAAACTCCAAGGAAACAGCGATAAACAACATTGTAGGATTCTGACCGTAGAAACGTAAAGTAACAAGGAAGAGAGGGGCCGGCGAGGCCCCCTCCCTTGAGGAAGTGATGTGGCTGGTACGACGTGTTGATACTTGGGAAGGTCATCAGTCTAACCCAAGGGCGTTTTGTATCGCGAGAACTAAGGACTCTGTTAAAGCCCAACAAAGATATGAGCTGGCCCAAAGAACGACACTGGTGATCCCCCCAAATACAAGGTTCAATCCCCCCAATCGAACGCGAAACCTGCGAGTAGATGATAGACAGGAAGCCGTAGATATTTTACCGAAAGGGGCTCGTATGTGACTGGGATGAAGTGCTCGAAGTGTTAGTATCGTGAGATAACCAACCCAACAAAACGAGACGCAAACAAGTTATCCGCCACACAATACCTAACAGACCTTAACACCAAAGACCCCAGGAACGACTGAGTGAACTCAGATATCTCTCCCAGAATCCGCGGCATCAAGGCCCATTATGATGGCAAAAGAAACGCTCGAGGCGAAGCGACGGCAAGGACGAGGAAAAGTACTTAGAACAAAGCGTGAAGAACCTATCCTCCTCGTCTGCTTCGGCCTCCTTATGTAGTTTTCTTCCCGCCCGTAGTTGTAACCGGTACGGGTACTTGGTTATTGGTTTTTGTTTTATATTTTGTTTTAAGTATTGCTTTGATACTTGGTTTGTTTTAAGTATTGTTTGATACTTGGTTTTGTTTTATGTTTTGTTTTAAGTATCGCTTTGATACTTGGTTTTTGTTTTATATTTTGTTTTAAGTATCGCTTTGATACTTGGTTTGTTTTAAGTATAGTTTGATACTTGGTTTTGTTTTGTTTTAAGTATCGCCTTAATACTTAAGGAGTTTTACCAAAGTGTATCGATTGATACCTTTGATTAGTTTCGTTCATGCTAGATATGAACAGATTTGTGTATTTAAAGACCGCCTGTTTCTACGATAGAAAAGGCAGACTTCGACAGACAGTATTTCAATATACTTGGTTGAACGGTTACTTCTTTGTTCCCCAGTACACCCTCGAAGCCTCCTTTAGTTCTCAGCTCTCGCCTCCGCTCTGGAAGAGCAGGCCACCTGCCAACTATCGTATCTATTACCGATAACGTGATTAGTATCTTGCGAACACGTTACAGTAGTCATGTGACCATTTTTGGTCACATGTGCAAAACCAAATCATAATAAACAAGTTATGTGACCAAGGTAGTCACATGCTCAAAACCCATGACCTCATAACGAGGTCATGTGCAAAACTCATAAACCAATCATAACACAATAAACAAGTCACATGACTCGACTGAGTCATATGTGTGAAACCCATAACCTCGTAACGAGGTCATGTGCCAAACATAAATCATATGCGCAAGGCTTACCCACAAGGCACACTCGTAGGGCGTACTCGCCAGGTGCACTCCCATGACTCATATTTGAGCCACGTGCA